CGCAAAAATCGTGTTTTCTTATTTGGTTTTTAAGTAGAGACTAGAGTTGTGACTAAGTAAACTGTTTTTTTTTTGTGAATTGTAGCTTTGCAATGCCTACACTGAGTTGAATGACCCGGTGGTACAGCGTCAACGTTTCGCTGATCAGCTCAAGGTACATATTTGAAGCCATCATCGCGCTTGTTATACTCTAATAAGCTGATCCTTGTCTCTGTTGTATCATTTTGAAACGTTAATGATTTTTTTTCATGATCGACAGTGTGGAGATGATGAAGCCATGGCTATGGATGAGAGCTTTTGCACGGCTCTCGAGTATGGATTGCCTCCTACTGGTGGTTGGGGAATGGGAATAGACCGGCTTGTTATGTTGCTTACTGACTCACAAAACATTAAGGTTCCTCATTTTGTTAATCTGAATCCATATACTAGTGCAATAGTATAGTCTTGTCTTTGTATTGTTACTCATGTTCTGAAATTAATGTTGCTTCAGGAGGTTATTCTCTTCCCGCTAATGAAGCCTCAAGACGAACCAGCCGCTTCTGCAAAAGGTATAGTGGAAGAAAGTCCGGTAAGCGAATCGGGAAAGGGGATGTATAGTATTGGAGAATGCATCAAAAGCCTCGATGCGATGGAAGAGGTTGAACAATGAAGTGATCTCTACTTGTTTGCTTTGGATATCTTTCTAAAGAAAGAGCATAGAGAGATGTTCTTAGAGTTGAAGAAGCCAAGTTTGAGAATAGCTTGGTTACAAAGACTCCAATCTACTGCCATTTTTACCATTACTACTACAACTTAAGTTTCTTATGTCTTTTTTTGTACTTTTGAACCTTTGCTTCTATAATAAATCTCCATCTATATGGAACTAAAGTTGAATTGTCAAATTTCTTGGTGGTTAATACATTACATCTTTTTAATTGAAATCTTCTTCAAAATTTGGATTTTGTTTGGGTTGGTTAAAGTTAAACCAACGACTATTCGGGTTAACCCGAATAATCCGAAGTGCTAACCGGAGACTGAGAAAAGTTAAACCATGGCAGATGCATGCAGAGAATGAGAAATGGTTTCCTGAGGTAATCAAAATAAGCTCTTTTTATCTTCTTGCTTGCTGCATAGCACAAAGTACAGAGCTTGTTGATGATTGGTAAAGGGATACTCAAACTTTTTCTGTATAAAATAAAGCTTCTTCATTATGACATAAAGTATGCTCCTTGCTTTGTTTTGTTGGACAAAAATGGACAAGCTTTGGCTAAGACTGGAGTTCCAAATAGTCGTGCTCATGTCATTGAAGGTATCTCTTCAAGTAAAATAGACTGAAATTACAAGAAGAATGTTGTAAAGTAACCACGCGAATAATGATTAAAAAGTGAGTGCATGTGAAAGAGACATAAGATGATGCATTACATATTTGTGACTTTCATAATCCAATACACATATGTATTGAGTTGGTTCTCATGTGGTTAGGAGGTTTGCCTTCAAGATGTCAATTCTTTTGCTCAACTTTATTAAACAAAAGAATAAAAAAATGTGAATTGAAATATCAAAAAAAAAAAATCAAATTATATTCAGTATAAAAAGTATAAAAAAGAGAATAATCTAATTTATATGAAAAGAATTGTAAATATAATATAGAAATTATTAAACAGTAAAAAATATGATATTGAACCACGAAAATGTAACAAAAATAAAGCACAAAAACTTTATTCATAATACATAAAAGGTAGTGAGCCAATATAAACAAGTATGAATTCAAATTTATTTTATTTAACTTCACATGAACTTTTATTGTATCAAATTATTTTATTTAACTGCACATGAAATTTGATTACATACTTAATTGAGACAAAATCTCTTATAAAAATTATAAACAAACTTAATCTAAAAGACCCTAAATTACATATAATAAAAAATGATATATTATGAAAATGCACGTGCATACGCCGGTCAAAAATCTAGTAAATAAAGTTTTGTTGTTTCTCTCTTGAGTTTTTTCTTCTTTTCCTTTGGTTTTTTGTGTAATTAGTCGAGGAATCTCCGAAGGGTATGGCGGATTTGACGGCGGAAAAAGCTTTAACTCTGAACAGAGGTTAAAGAAGATTCTCGAGGATGTCTACGACGGAGGTGGTAGAAGCGACGACGCGATTAGAATTCTCGACGGTGCGACTGTAGCACTCGATTTCTTGAGGAAGAAAGACCCTGATGCTCCTTCTTTGTCTTCTTCTTCGTCTCCGAATATAGAACCTGAACAGTCTTCTTCTTCGATATGATTTCTTCTTCTTCGATAGAACCTGGACAATCATCTTCTTCTTCGTCTCCAGTTAATTCTTCGTCTAGGCAGGTATAATTTGGAGGCAAAGGAAATCGAGATCACTTCGTCTAAGTCTAGTCTTATTGGCTTGAGACTTCTATGTTCGTTTGATACATTGGTGTTACTCAGCAAAAGAGAATCAGTGACGATTTATGATGTCGTGGACAAGACTAAAATCGAGTTGCCCAACCTACCAGTTAATATGAGAGTTATGTTTGCATCACTTTCAGGGAATTTCGCGAGCAATTTCACAGAAGCCACCCCGATAGTGTAAATTCTTGCAGAGCTAGAACGAATGGTGGTGTTGTTACACCACGGGAAATGAGAGAATTCATGGAAAAAAGTTGGTTATATGTGTTGTGACTCTAGATACCTAGAGAGTATGATTCTTGTCGAACGGGAAATTCGCATTCGAGATCAACAATTTGAAATAATACTTGATCCGAGAAATCCCATTAGTTTGAAATACTTGGTGCTTCAGGAATCGATCGGCTTGTTATGTTACTTACGGACTCACAAAACATTAAGGTTCCTCTTCTTTATTTTAATCCATATACTAGAAATGGTAGTCTTGTCTTGCCTTTGTCTTTCCTCAGGACGAACCAGTCGCTTCTGCGAGAGTGGAATGCGAATCGGCAAAGGGGATGTATAGTATTGGAGAATGCATTGAAAGCCTAGACGCGATCAAAGAAAGAAGTGGAAGAAGGAAGTGATCTCTACTTGTTTGCTTTGGATATGTTTCTAAAGAAAGAGTATAGAGAGATCTTAGAGTTGAAGAAGCCAAGTTTGAGAATCACATGGTTACAAAGACTTCAATCTACGGCCATTTCTACTATTACTACAAATTAAGTTTCTTATGTTTTTTTTGTACTTTTGAACCTCTGCTTCAATAAATCTCCATCTATATGGAACCAACTTGAATTGTCAAATTTCATAATGCCATCTTTTTAATTGAAATCTTCTTCAAATTTTGGATTTTGTTTGGGTTGTTAAAAGTTAAAACCAAATGAATACTAACCCCTAACCGGATAAACCCAACTTTTGAGGGTTTAACCCTAACCAAATCGGAGACCGGTTTGGTTCAAATAGAGACAATCTCTGAAGAAAACTCAAGCCTCCGTGTTTTGTCGCTGAAACTCTCTCTCTCTCCTCTACCGTAACAGAGAATGAACAAAGCAACGAAGCTTGTGGTTTCAATCTCCACACTTTTCAGACAAACGCGTTCTTCAACTTTCCGGTGCAATCCAATCCCAACGATTGCGATTATTAATTCACAAACCCACTTGCGTCGTCGCGAATCTCTCGAACCTAATGGACTCCGATTTGCCGGAAGAGTGTTTTGCTCGGAATCTGGTGTGAAGAGAAGCTTCTTCAAGTGCTGGAACTGTGGTTTCTCTTCGGAAAAAGTCGCGTTTTTGTTCTGTGATTCATGCCGGAGTATTCAACCTGTTGATGATTCCGTCGATTATTTTCAGATTTTTGGCCTGTAAGTTTATAATTTTGCAACAAATCATTGATTACATTAGAAAATTCTAGCTATTAAGTGATAATGTGGAATTCGTCTTTGTTGGGTTTAGGGAAAACGATAGAAAGGTATCAACTTTAAGTTGGATTCAAATGCTAAAGATGAGACCTTTGAATTGGTTTTTGATAGGGAGAAGAAGTATGAGATTGATGATGGAATTCTTGAAGGGAAGTATAAAGATTGGCAAAAGAAGTTACATCCAGATTTAGTTCACAACAAATCCAAGGTCTCGGTTTCTAGATTCTCTTATACAAATGGGAACATATTATCTTCCTTGTTCTTGTATTTTCTTACAGTGAGCTCTGTTTTTTGAGTTGTTAACAGAAAGAAAGAGATTACGCAGCCGAACAATCTGCAAAGGTGACTGAAGCATGCCGGACATTAACCAAGCGTCTGTCCAGAGCGATGTATATCGTAAGCTCTTCACTTCTCTCATTACGTTTACTGGTTCTTCCCTTATTGTTTTGGCTTCGATTTGGTTTTAAGGATTCTTAAGAAGCTGCAATTTCTCTGAAATTAGTTAACTTACAATGTTGTTGTTGCTCTTTTTAATTTTTCATTTAGATGATTCCATTTGTGCAGTAATGATTGTAAAGGAGATTTTCGGCAAATCGTTCAAGTGTATTGCGAGTTTCGTTCTTTTTGAGTGTGATTAATATGAAAGATATTGGTTCTGTGTTGTAGATGAAGCTGAATGGCATAAATGTCAATGAAGAAGACACAATAACAGATCCAGCATTGTTAATGGAGGTAAGTGGATATATACTCATAAAAGATCAGTCTCGATGATGAATTTTCGTTTGTGCGACTTTTTCTACTACCTCAAAGCTGCAAATCTGTTACAAATAAACACATTCACTTAGTTTTATTGACTGAAAATGATGTCAGATTATGGAACTCAGAGAGGCCATAGCAGAAGCAAATGATTCAAACGAGTTAAACCAGATCCGATCCCAGGTACCCTGAAATTTCCTGATCGATCCGCCTTCCTTCAGTCTTTTCTTAACTTCTTTAGTTTTTGCTGAAACTGAAGTTTCAAACACGTTAAACACTGCAGCTTTGGGCACTGTTTGAATAAACTAAACTGATCTAATCAATGTGATTTTGTTGTTTTACTCTCAAGGTACAAGAGAAACTGAAGCAGTGGTCTGACTCTTTTGTCAAAGCGTTTGAAAGCCAGAGGTTTGATGAAGCTGTTAAATGCATACAGAGAATGACTTATTATGAGCGAGCCTGTGAAGAAATTGTGAAGAAGCTATGAGGCAAGTGGTCGTTCCTAAAATGAACACGTTTTTAAATTTTTGCCTAAAAGCCTTACCGGTCATATTTGTAGGGAACACATCATAGCTCATAACTAAAGTATCTTAGCTTCATGTTTTAGTTTACTTATATAGAAATGAGGACTTTTTAATAAGAGCATTGACAGATTCATTGCTAAGAAAAATATTTAATTTGGTCCATTTGTATAAGGTTTCTACCCATGTATACAGCGTCTGCATCGATTAGCCAGAGAGATGGTCATGCAGATACCTTTCGTTGTGCTGCTAAAGCCGACTTCTTCTGTAAAACACTCCGAGCAAGATCTTGCTTGCCTTCTCTATTTAACCCGTAGAAAACTGTTCGGAAATTGACGGTGCTTGGAGCAATACCTTTATCCAGCATTTCAGACAGAAGATTCAGGGCATCTTCAGATTTACCTGCTTGGCACAAACAGTTTATGAACTTACTGTATGTTTTAAAATCTGGTGAAGCTCCCTTCTCTTTCATATTGCGGAATGCTTTCCAAGCCTCTTCTGCTTTTCCGAGGCTCATGTACCCGCATATCATTGCTGTATATGTAACAACCGAAGGCTCGCAGCTTTCTTCTTCCATTTTCTGACATGTCTCTAAAACCTTCTCGAGCTGTTTCTCCTTGAAGAAATGTACAATCAGAGATGTGTAGACATGGACTCCAGGTTTTATTCCCATTTCCTTCATGGAATTCACTTTATCCAATGCTTCTTGTAACTGTCCCTTCAGCAATAAACCATGAACAATGCTTCCATATGTAAACTGGTCTAATAAAGATCTATCTCCTTTGAAATTGGCTAATTCTGCCAGAGCTTCCTCTAGTTTTCCAATTCGACAAAGAGCTCTAATGTAAATAGAGTAGGCCACAGGGACTGGGAAACCTATCTTGCCAAGAGAATCCAAACACCGTTTCGCTTCCTTTGTGTTACCAACTTCACATAAGCATCCTAAGTAATCTTGGACTAGTTCTCTATCTGGGGCATAACCTGCACGAATCATCTCGCGGAATGTTCTGGTGGCTTCTTCAACATTCCTGCCTTTCTTCTGGCATAGAACTGTGATCAAACACTTGAATGTCGAAGAGCTCGGGATCAGACCCATATCTTTCATTTCCTTGAACGTTTTAATAGCAATGTTGGTAAGACCGGTTCTACCGTACTGCATAATCATGATTGCCCATGTATCTTGTGTAATCAAGCAACCTTGTCTTCTCATCTCGTAAAACAGATTCCTCATCTGCTTGAAATCTTTCCCACAACCCGCAACTTTGATGCTCATGTTATATGCCTCTGCGCTCTGCTTATATCCATTTCTCTTTCCCACCCATGAAAAGAAACGTAAAACAGTGTTTCCCTGTATCATGCTATTACGAAGAACCTCAACTACTAGTTCTGGTGTGAACTCGACTGTCGATTTTTCAAGAGATTCTCGGGTTCTCTCCCAATCTCGTGAGGATGATAACATGCGACAAATTGCTTGCACATCCATTTTATCAACAGCAGATGAAGCTGGTGGAGGAGCTGACAGCTGCACTACCTGTGGATGGTTATAGTCATCAACAAGCTCCTCTTCTTGCCTTAATTCTGTTTTGTAAGATACGCTTAGTTCTTGGGGGTAGGATTTGCATTTTTTCTGGATTTCTTTGACATGTTCAATCTTCTCCTTTTCACCATTTTTCTCCATACAAGAGATAACCCAAGAAAACATATCATCCCTGATAGCTATCTTGGAGGCGTGCATCTGATTAAGTAGCTTTAGGATCTCATCATATTTAGCAGATCTACAGAGCTCCTTCACAAAGATCGAATAAGATTTCCATGTCGGTTTGATGCCCTTTTCCTCCATGCTGCTAAACACTTTCCATGCCTCTGCTACTTGGTTTTGGCCTAAATGACCAGCAACCACGGCTGTGATAGCGACACTGTCAGGCTCAATTCCGTTCTCTATCATCTCATTGAATAAGTTGCAACCCTTATGGAACTGTTTCATCTTGAATAGGTGTTGCATAATCTCAGTGTATGTTGAAACTCTAGGTGAATGCCCTGCATTTTTAATAACCTCGAGCTGTTCAAGTGCTTTAGAAACATCGTTTTGCCTGAGATACCCGCTGATAATAATCCCATAGACATTTGAGTCATCCAGTTTCCTCTTCTTCATTATATCGACAATCTCTAGAGCATCTACCATTCTATTGGCTCTGCAAAGTCCTTTAACCAAAATCTCAAAATATTTAGTGTCAAGGCACACCTCCTTGGTTTTTAACTCGCGTATCAGCTCCAGCGCTTCTTTTATCTTGCCGGAAATACAAAAACTCTTGAGCAAATAACCAAAAGCGTCGTGTTCTGAAATCTCACATATCCTAACCATGTTATCTGCAATGGACTGGACTACATCAACTTTCTCTGATTTCGCTATGCAATCCAGTAACATCTTGTACGTTCTCAATCCAAAAGTGATACCCATTTCAATCATCTCCTTATAGAACTCAAGCGCAAGATCACCTCTACCGGCAATGCATAGAGACCTAATCATGATATTGTAAGCCGCAGCATCGGGTTCAAAACCACTCTTCCTCATCTTCTCAAAAACAAGCAACCCTTTCCCAATCTTTTTTGCTTTCCCGTACACCGAGATAAGAATCGTCCACGTCCTAATATCCTTATCACAGTTGTTCCTCTCCATTTCTTTCACTAATTCGTCTACCATATCGAGATCCCTCGCTTCCCCAGCTATGCTTAGCAAAGTGTTGTAAACACCGACTTTATGCGAAAAGCCATCCTTATCTTTCGCCCAACTAAAGAACCTCAGAGCCAAATGAGGAACCTTGAAGCACCTCTTCAGTACTTTTTCCACGATTTTGGGTTCAAACCGAAAACTCAATTTCTCTAACTTGTCCTCCATTGAAACCAAAATATCGTCGTCTGCCCTGACAACACTCGTAATCTCATGAACCACAGGACTGACGTCGAATTCTTCAAGAACAACTTTCTGAGCCTCTCCATCTTCACCCGAAAACCCCACTTTAGCATTTTCACGAACACCTTGCGTGCAAGAGACCAATGCTCCATCACCACCTGTCATCACATTGGTTTCTCCCGATACAGGAAACCTCAGCCGCGTAGTTTCGTCTGATTCGACAACATCGGATCCTAAAATCTCAGTAATCTCGTTAAAGAGTGAGGTGATAGCTACAGATTCTGCTTGGATCTTCGATGGGGTCTTATGGGTTTTGGATTTCGATGACTTTGAAAAAGAAACGAGTGTGTTCCTTCGAGTTGGATCAAATACGAAAGATTTGAATCGAAACAGAGCTCTCATTGTTTTTTTTTTTATCAATCGTAAGAATCCTAAAGTCGATTCCTACATCAACTGGAAGAAGAAAGGGAAAATAACGGTCAAAATCGAGCGGTTAGAATGTGTGTCTTAAGCATTTTAAGCTAAAAACCATTGTAAACGTAAACACGCTAAACACAAATGAAATGAAAATTTTGGTATCCTTTTATTTTTGTGATTGTATTTTACAAAAATTTAAAATATTTTACCTCTAAAAACAAGTAAATATTTTATTTTAAATGTATACATAAATTATGTTTCAAATAATCGAAGCATAACTCCATTTTTAGACGTGTTTATCCTCGCTTGTTTCCGCCAAAATTTTGGCAAAATTTCCGGGAATTTAGCGTTTTTCCGTAAGTTTAATTATGTGTATAGTCTTGGTTTTGTATTTCACCTCGTATTCTACTTTGTTTAACAAAATTTTCTAGATGTCAAAACAAAAAAAAAAGTGTTTATCCCGTTTGGAAACTGAAAAAACACACAATTTTCAATCATGAAATCTCCAAAATAACCTAAAATTATGAAATTCTCACCAATAAGTCGTATGTATAGGTGATGCTAATCAGATTTTATGTGTTTCTAGATGATGCATTATGCATAGCCAAAGTGGTATATATTTTAGGTGTTTACACATTCTTTCCTTTAGGTAGACACAAATTGATCCTGGCTTACTAATGACACTACAAACTTTTCGTACATTACATACATTGTGTGAAATATTCTCTTTTATTGGCACAACAGAATCGTCTTAAAAATAAAACAGCAAATAATAGAGGAAGCATCATTGACCACATGGAAACAAAAGAAATTTAGACAGCTTCACTATTAAGACTTGAGACTTCTCATACGAGATGAATCCAAAGACAGCTAAGTTTTTGTTCCTCCTCCAATCAAATCAACAAACAACCATGAGCCAACTCATTTCCCATGTCCATGTAATTACTTATTCTACAAAATGTTTCATATTTAAATAAAATAACAAAAGTCAGAGACACCTAATCATAG